ACACTACCACCCTGATAGGACCCACCCGACACTCCAGCGAGTCCGATCAAACGGACATTCGCAGCACACAACAAAACAGCAGAGTCCCATCCCACGCAACCGCACAACACACCAAGTGGACCGACACCACCAATAATCACCAAGCATATCGCCATACGCTCCCACACACAACCACAGCAGAACACGATCCCAAGCAAACCTATGCCGAAGATTCGCGTCAGCAAAACGACCACGACCATCACAACTACGACTTCACCAGAGACCCTACAAACGACCACCAGCTCGCCTGATTGACCAAGCCAACCTGACAGCACAGCAGCCACCGACCTTGCCCCAAAACAGCAACGCCACAGCAACACCAAAGACGACCTCGCCCACAGTCATCACCAGGACCAACTGGTCACCATCCCACCTATCCATACTGGTACACCCACCACTACCCGCACTAAAAACGCCCATCAGCTGCCCACCAACCGAGGACATCAACGCCCAACAACGGATACACTATGTTCCCTGGCGACGGCTGGCTCCACAATCGCTGGCAACGCGCCACACCGACTTCCCGACGATCGCAGCACAAGCAATCGCCACACACCACGAAGCAGCACGACGAGGAGAGCACCATACCCACATCTTCAACCGACGCATCACCTTCCTCAACACTGTTGGATACCCTACGTTCCAGGACCACATCGCCAGGCGTCGTACGTATCAGGCCCCCTACGAGAACCACCTCAATAGCCTACACGAGCACACGCTTGGAGCGCCATTCAGGGAGCCGCCGCCCAAGCGCATGGTAACACTACACAAAGCCACTCCCAAGCCCAAACCGACGACAACCAACACGGGTCTGTCCACGTAGACGACATCCGACCCATCACTACAAGGAATGGGCAATGTACTACATATATCGCGACATTCACGACCAGTACAACCTCCCGTCCAATTACAGCAGATGGACCTCATCTGACTTGGTACAGGCGCGCTCACTTGCAGCCAGACCGTTACGACATACCACTGACCTGCAATACGCCTATCCTCCCTTCCCCTCGCGGCTCTTTCGACACGATGGTGACGTTCTCTCTCATGCAGGTTTGGGGTTATCCTACAAAAGTCTGGGTCGCAGCCCCCACATTACATATTCATCTTATCTGAAGCCACAGCCTTCCCACTGCCGCATCTCGACATTCTTTCCCACTTCGCTTTTCAGCTGTACACCCTCCATCTTTCCCTCGCGGCTCGTCCGGCACGATCGGTGGCGCTCTCTCACATGCAGGTCTGGGGTCATCCTGCACAGCCCTGGGGCGCAGCCCTAGGGTTGCCAGTTCATTGTCCGAAGGCTAGGAGTCACCCACAAAACTCCAGGGCGATATCACTGTGCGCACATACGCAATCAAGTCGCTTTTGTAGGACAAGTGTACTACCGCCTTTGAGCGACGAGGAGGAGGAGGAGGAGGAGGAGGAGGAGGAGGAGGAGGAGGACGGGCTAGACACTCAAGGCGAACTCTGAGGAACGCCCAGGGCGCTCCCTCCGCTCGCTTCGAGCCCTTTGCACACAGAAGTGCTGGCAATGATACCCTTACGTATTGGTACTCGGCCAGCCTCTGCTGAAGGCCAGCCGAACACAGTTCTCTTGCACAGCGAGTCCCCGCTGTATCGTCCTCACCACTGCTGCTGCGCACGCCCCCTTCTGGTCATTTCGACTCAGCACCTTGTGGCATGCGCCCCCATACAGCTGATGACAAACACTCTGAGGACACCCGAAACGAGTAATCCTCCTTGCAACACGCCCAGCGGGCACTTGGGACCCCTACGGGGAGGTACCGTTTTTTGTCTGCAGCGCAGCAGCACGTACTTTGTGTTCACCTTGCTCTCCCCCCGCCTCGCTGCAGACCTCTACTCCTGACATTTACTACGGCGACGGCGGCCCCATCCACCTGGGAACCGAAGAGCGGGCCTGCTGCTGGCAAAAAGAGCGGGTCTACTGCCGGCGAGAGGGACTTGTCAAATTGACATCATCAGCCCTACTGTCACATAAGACCCAACGCTTGGTTTGATCCATGCCCAGGCCACTCAGCGTGCACTAGCTCGTTTCCTCTTTCTGTCCTAGACCTTCTTTGTCAGCAACTTGCCCACGTAAGCGGACTAGCTGCACAGAACGCGCTCGGCAGAAGCAGCTTGTACCTTCTTCGGTTCGCGTGTCATCGTGTCACAAGCTGCTTCTAGTACGATAGTCACATGGTTCTTCGATCACGGCCAGCAGCACAGGCGCAATTGCTACCTGACAGGCCAGCCAACGTAGGCCAGCCTTTGTGTCACAGGATGCTACAGCAGAGGGTCGTAGCACACCTCCCCTCCGATCGGTGTGCGCATACCCTTGGCAGTCTACAGGCGCCACTTTAACATGGCCTCATCACATGCTCTTCACAGGTCTCAGCGTGCACATGTACGTGAGCAAACAGAAGCAGCATGTACATCCTCTATTCCTTGTTATGTTTATGTTATCTCTGGCGATCTTGCGTTTGTTGCTAGACGCTGCTTCCACAAACTGCTCCAGGCTCCGCACAGAGAGCACCACCATGATGCCATGCACGGAGCACTTACTGATTACCAGACATGCTGGTGGCTCCCCACTCACAATTTCAGATCTCCAAAGCATCTGACATGTTTTGCCTGCTGAGCACCAGCAGCCGCATACACTTATTCTGCTCCTTCCTCCCATTGATGCTGCTGGTTCTTTGTGCCACCAGCTGGCGCATGCGATAAAACATCGGTCGGGCGGGTATCGGAGGTGGTGGGCATACGGGGTGTGGAGGGTATACTTGGCTGGTCATCGCACACGCAGTGCCAGTCCCTTTCAAGCTTGGCGTCGTCGCACGTATCTTAACTCTACATACGGTGACGGCACGACCATGAATCTTACGCTTTTCTACGTTATGTCGTTTAGGTGCTAAGGTCCGTGCCGTCCTAGTGTATTTGGCCTTCGCGACGGCACTCACTATCGATCTCAAGGTTGTTCAATGTTGTTACCTCTATCTACTGCTGTTGCCCTCCTACAAAGATGAATGTCGTCCCACCTGGCGGGCGCCTACTCTCACTAATATTCTCGCCCGTTGCTCCGACTCTTGCATCTTCCGCGGCGCCCGCCAGGTGTTTATTCTTGACCCGAACGGTTTTTTCTTTCACCTCATGAACGCCACATGTGCACACATAAGGTCTGGTCAACGCAGGAAGGAGGAGGAGGAGGAGGAGGAGGAGGAGGGGGAGGAGGAGGAGGAAGAGGGTTGGAGGAGGTGGAGGTAGAGGAGGAGGAGGCGGAGGAATGACCTCCAGGGATCTCACGGGATTTCCTGTGAGGATGTGGCTGGAGGAGGCTGCCGGCATGGGACCGGGAGGGGCCGTATGCCACCGCCTCCCGCTCATTCGCTTCTCAGCCCACAGGCACGCGCGCCTCCTGCAGTGTACACAACTCCCGATCCGCCGCAGAGCGGCCGGGTAGTATGGAACTGCTGTGACGGCCCTGGGGCAGGGCGAGGGCCTCCACGGGCCGACCAGTAGGAGGGGCAACCTCCGTGGTGTCTCTCCCAGCACGTTGGGAGGCTGGGGAATGCGGGGGGGCCTGGCGAATCGGCCGAGTGCAGCCGCCTTCCCCGCCACCCGCAAGCGCGGGGAGGGACCGTACCTCGAGGAGTGTGCCCAGTGGCCGGGCCGCAATCAGCAGCGTGCAGAAGACGTCGCCCCCCCTGTCCCATGCCCCCTCCGAGGGAGAATCATAAATGGGAAGGCAGCACAAAGCTACACAGGGAGGGAAGCAACTCCGCCGCCAGGCGCCCTACTCGATATACATTGGCGCCTCCGCCGCAGGGAGGCGTTAGGGAAATCCGCCACTCGAGATGCTTCCCTCCACGCCCCGAGGGGGACTGTCACTCGCCATCGCTCGGACGTCCATTTTTTGTGTTTTTGTCGGTTTCGTGCGTGGTTTTTTGCCGGATGGTCAAGGATGCTCCTCGATGGTCCTCGCCGAAGGAAAAATGCACACGTCCGAGCGATGCCAAGGCCAGGGCGGGGCCGGCTCGGGAGGGGGCACCGGCCTGGAGTCGGCAACTCGTAGCTGGCAGATCGGCGATGGGCCTCCGATAGCGGAGCGGCACGCTCGTGGGCGGGGCCGGCCATGAGAACCCTCTCGGCGGTGAGTGGGTGACCGGAGGTTGGCTGTCCTTTGGGGGGTATCTTCTATAGGGAGGTACACGCACAACGCTGGCATAGATTTTAAAGCGCCTAAGGAGCACGCACAGGGAGGTACACGCACAACGCTGGTATCTTTTATATGGAGGTACACGCACAACGCTGGAATCTTCTATAGGGAGGTACACGCACAACGCTGGCATCGACCTCCAGTCGGGTCGGGCGAAAGGAAGGGGGGGATAGCTAAGGGGGGGGGTGAGAATCAGCTCACGTAGCTGATTTTCCCGGCGCCTCCCGGCGCCGGAGGCGGCCATGTATCGAGGAATGGGCCCCTCGGGGAGGCCGAAACCAGCTGCATGCATCAAATTTCGTAACCCCCCCTTTCCCAATCCCCCCCTTTCGCCCGGCCCGATCCAGTCTGGAGGTCGATGTGCCCCCCCCTCCCGGAGCGTATCCTCCCCATGCAGCGTTGCCCCCCCTGGTGCTCGGGTCGTGGCTCGGCCCTCTGGCGGCCGCCCGGGGCGATCCCGGCGCGCAGCCGCTGGAGGGCATCCCGGCTGGAAACCTTCCGCCTCGCAGCCGAAACTTTCTCCCCACACTGAAGGGAAACTGGGACACACAAATAAATACACACAAATAAAAATAGTCCCCATATTTTCCCATATTTTCTGGGTTTTTGTCTTCCCCACCACTTCCCATATTTTCCCATATTTTCTGGGAAATCGACGATTAATTGTGTCTGTGTGTTTTTTTCCCTCCTGACTTTCTCCCCACACTCCCGCCGCCATTCTGGACCCGATCTTCTAGGTGCCAACAGGTGCAGCGTCGGCCGGTTGAACGCCTTCAGCCAAAGCACCAGGGCGTTCACGCACTCGAAGGCCTTGGCCTTCTCCCTCTTGTCGAAGAGGCACAGGAGCAGCTGGAGCACCGCGAACGCCTCGATCTCTGGCGGCAGGGGCTTCTGGATGTTCGGCAGCTTCGCCTCCGGAGCCTACGCTCAGAGTGAGAGAGAGAGACCCAGACCCCCGACGACATGATTTGTTCATTACGCCGACCCCTGGAAGTCTCGACCCACTCCCCTGGACCGGTCTTTCATCCTGAGTCGTTTTGTGACGGTCTCGAGGGCCGGTGCGGGCCCCCAGAGGCCGAAAATAGCACTAAACCTCCCGTCATGATTTTTGCATTGCCCGAGGGGGCCTGGGGAGAGGGCATACATCCTCGACGTCGGCGCTATTCGTAAGGTCGACAGCGAGAAACATGAGGGTTTGGGGCGCATCTGGGGCCCCATGTCGGGCTCGAATCGGCGCGTCCCCCCAATAACACCGACCACGGCATCCCCGCATTATGCGGTTTTATGAACGGGCCCACACACAAAAACATACACATACATTCAAGGATCCCCCGTATTTCCACATATTGTCTGGGTTTCTGTCTTCCCCCCACTTCCCATGTTTCCGCGCATTTTCTTGGGGATCGACGATTGATTGTGTCTGTGTGTTTCTCCCTCCTGATTCCAATCGGTCGAAAATGTTTGTCAATGCTGGCCTGTCCGCCCACACCACCCTGCGAACACCCCGACGACCTCTCGGGAAACAGGCCGCTCGTTCCGCCTTTCTGTCACGCCCGGCTTCCGCGGACTCGCGCCAGCGAAGCCTCTGGCACACCGCGCCGTGCAACGGATCACGCATCACGTGTTACCGAACGAGCTGCGGAGCGATGCCGTCGGCCCGACGTGACGGGGTCGTCGCGCGCGGGAGGGGGGGCGGGAGGGGCATGGTGGGGGCTGGCCAGAGGGGCAGGGGGGGGCTGGGAAGTGGAGGAGCGAGTTTTGTTCCCCCCCACAACGAAACGCCACCCCCAACCTAACTCCCCACGCATCCGCCGGCAATGTGAACCAAACTCACCGTCACTAACATCACGCACCGTCGCCAGCATAGAGAAGGAAGAAGAGGGCGAAGGAGGACGCGAGGAAGAAGAAGAAGAAGAAGAATAATAATAATAAGAAGCATAAGAAGAATAAGAAGAAGAAGAAGAAGAAGAAGACGGGGCAAGGGCACTGTGCAACGAACCCCTGCAGCCCAACCAGCCACTTACATGATGTACCGAACGCACACAGTGGCAACCCAGCAGGGAGGCGCGAGGAGGGAAGAGGGAGAAAGCGCGAACGACAGACAGAAGCGGTCATGGGCGAGCACGGCGATATAGCATGCGCCCACAGTTCTATCAACGCTACGGCAAACGCGAGGACGAGGACGGAGAAGAGAGAGAGCGAGAGAGATGGGATAGAGAGAGAGAAGGCAGAAAAACACTGGTCGCGACCTGATCAAAGTACTAAGCTCCACGAGCAGGGAAACCATCTACAGTAAAAGGCGACGAGGTAATGCAAGGAGGGTGTAACCGCAGTGGAAACTGGAGCAGCGAGGGGAATGGAAAACAGCGGGAAAGGGACAAGAAAGGGGAATGGGCAATACGGGAAAGGGCAACGGGGAGTACCATCGCAGGGGCAGACAGGAGAAGATGGGAGAACAGACCCCTGTTCGGGCCCTCATCAGCAGAGAATGGCTTCGGAGGGGGAAGACGCCAAGGGTACCAATCTGAGGGAGGCTTTGAGATGGGCTTCGGGTCCAGAGGAGGGTCAGGCACGAGCGAATGAAAACTTTGAAAGTGGAAGGCTTCGGAAATCATTTGGTGAGAGAGGTGACTACCTACCAGACCACCCCAAACCAACCCGAAGACCCGATTTTCGTGCTGGGGTGGGTACAGGTTCCATACGTGATTTTTTCTCATGTTCCCCGAGCCCTCCCCCCCATTTGGAATCGAATGCAAATTGGGGCCTTCGGGTTAGATTGTGGTGGCTTGGTGGGTCGTGAGGAGGGGTCCACTAATCCATGGACCTCAGCATGTGCGGATTTTCACATGTTCGGAGCCCCTATTGGGTAAAAGCACACCTATCATCTATCATGGTCCCTCCTACTGCCTTCGTCCACTACAACGAACAAAGACAAGCGATGCCGAGAATGGCAGACAAACTTGCTAGGCACTCATGCAGCACCTCTCAGTCAGGACAAGAGGAACGCTGACTGACCTTCGTTCATGGCCAGCTGCAATTTTTGCTTCAGGATTTCTGCCGAGGAGTACTCTGGCAACTTCAGGTAGTTTGCGCACGTCATTACCGACGGCATGAACTCGTCTGGTGATCGCGGAGCCTCGGGGGCCTCCTTCTTCACCACCGTCAAGGGTGGCTTCAGCCCTGCGAATCCGCTGGAGGGGAGGGCAGGCGTGCCCGACACGAACATCAAGAACTTCCGCCTGTCCTCTGGCTCGAACGTCGCCATCGCAGCCAGCAAGTCGCGGAAGCACGTGGACTGCGCGTTGTAGCCGTGCTGCGCCTTAATGTGCGCACTAAGGTGGTCCAGAGTCCAGAACGAGTCGTTGGTGACCGAGGCGCCCATAATGATCGAAGAGAGCTCCATCTCCGACCAAATCTGGCACGCGTCCAGCGGCAGCAGTTCCGCAAAGGCCTGCCTGAAGGCGGCCGCCTGCGGCTCGCAAGCGGTCGCCAGTGAGGCCTCCGATACGAGCGCGACGTACTCCCCTACGCTGTCGGCCGTGAGCAGGATGCCAGACCCTCCTGCCTTGAGCTCGACCTGTGGATGGCCAGGCAACGTGAAGTCGACGCAGAGCCCCTCCAGATCAGCGGCGCTCATTGACGGCAGGCCGCTCATCTGGCTGAACAGCGCGGGGTCGACCTCGCGGAGGGAGCTCAGCGACAGGGGGCCATGGCCGAGGATCAGGCGCCAGAAGAGCGGGTGCAGCTGTATGTCCACCAGGCGGCTGTCGAGGATGCACTTTGCCACCACGTGGCCCAGCAGGCGGAAGCGCTCCAGGATCTGCTGCGCTTCCTTGTCCTGCCCATCGCGCAACCATGCTGGGTGCCATGGCTCTGGATATATCATTCCCATCGGCACGCCCTCCCGGAACAGCCGCGGCTCTGAGGTGCGGAGCATCTCCGCCACCTGCGCGTAGAACTCCAGGGTGGGCCCGAGGCCGGTGCCCACTTCTCCCACGTACTCCACCTCCAGGATCGGGGTGCCAGCCCCGTACAGGTTCATCACCTTCACCGCGCTCTCCAGCATGCGCTGCCGCGAGATGCGGACCTTCTGGCGCGGGATGCTGGCGACAGCCACCTCGCCCTCCAGCTGGCGCTGCGCCTCCTGGCTGTGCGCGTTTTGCGCCAGGGCGCGCTGCTGGACGTGGTGCAGCGCCCTGCTCGGACCGAGGCTGCAGCTGTTGTGCAGGATGCGCCGGGCGCTCCCCGGGAACAGGTAGGGGCACGCGGCGGCCAGCTGGGTGCACCAGGGCGCCACGGACCCGGTGCAGACCGCGAGGGGGTCAGACAGCTGCCGCAGCAGCGCGCACGTCAGGGCCTTGCAGTGGAACGAGCCGTCCTCCAGCGCCTCCGCGCCCAGGTGCTCGCAAGCGCGGCGCAGGGCGGAGGCGAGCTGCAACAACGCCGCCAACTGCCCCCCCTCCGCGCCGTCCGCTGATGCAAGCAGCGCCGGGATCGCCGCAGCCGCCCGCGCGTGGCGCCACACCAGCGCGTCCAGGTCCGCGGGCACGAAAGCGGGCCCGTCCTGGGAGGGCCTGCTCAGCTCCAGGGGCCCCGCGCCGACGGGGCCGTGCCCGTAGGCCCCCCGCGGGCTCTGGGGGCGGGCCTCGGGTGCGGCGAGCTCGTAGGTCATGGAATGCACAGAGCCCCAGATGGCCCCGGAGATGTGCCCCTGGGACGCGGCGTTGGCGCCGCGCCCGTCGGGAGGCGTGCCCTCGTTCCCCGAGGCGCCCGAGCTGTCCTCGGCAGAGACCAGGAACCGCTCCGCGCGCGGCTGCCCCTGGTGGGGGCTCCGCGCGGGCCGGCGCTGGCCGCCGCGCGGGGCGGAGCGCTGGCCCGCGCGCTGCACCAGCGACTGGACCAGGCTCGCCTTGGAGGAGAGCGGCTGCCCGTCGAGGAAGAGCTGCACCCTCTGCGCCCTCTGCTCCGACACGGCGGGCTGCCGCCCGCAGCCGCCCTCGGCTGCCGCGGCGACCGGCGACGCTGGCGCGGAGGCCCCGCCTGGGCTCTGGACGCCGCTGTCCGTGCCCTCGGCCCGTGCTCGCGCCGAGCCCCACGGCGAGGCGACGTCGGCGGGCGAGCCGGACTCTGCGGAGGCGGACCCCGCGCCACCGCCGGGCGCGGCTTCGAGGCGGTCGGATGGGGAGGCTGGGGACCCCAGGCTGCCCGCGCCGTCTCGACCAGGTCCCAGCTTGTCCCAGATGTAGTCCTCCAGCGCGCCCACCATCGCGAACGGTTCCACCAACAGCACCGCCTCGACGGCGTCCTCCGGGGGCGCGCGGCCCCGGTACGCGCGGCGGCCGCCCAGCAGGTCCGAAGCGCGTGCCGCGGAGCCCGCCGCGCCGCCTGGCGGCCCTTCGCCCTCTTCGCCGCACCTGGGCGAGCCGCCCAGCCACTCCTCAGCAGCGCTCGGCGCCGGCCCAGACGCGGCCTTGGAGAAGAAGCTCGCCATGGCGCCCCGCGACGGCGAGGCGCCCGACGGCGGCGCGCCGGCGGAGAGCACTGGCCGCTTGCGGCCGGCCGTCGGCAGCACCTTGGAGGCCAGGTAGTCACGCAGCCGCGCGGCTGGCGACGCCGCGAGCACTGGAGCGGACCCCTCGCGCGCGGCCGCAGCCGCCGAGGAGCCAGGCTGAGCGTGCGGCGGCCCCTCCCCGAAGCGGCGAGCGCGCCCGGGCCCCGCGCCGCCGTGCGGCGCCGCGCCGTCCCAGGGGGCGCACTGGGGCGGCGGGGCAGCGGCGCTCCCAGCGGCTGGGGGCGCGCCATGGGGCGAGATGCGCACCTTGACCGGCCTGGCCAGCAGCCGCAGCACAGAGAGCAGCGGGGAGCCCCCCCCGCTGGGGTCGCGGCCGCGGCCGCCGCGGCCGCCGACGGCGAAGCCGCCCGCGAGCTCTAGCGCGCCGCCCCGCCCAGGCGGCCCCCCTGCGCTGTGCGCCCGCAGGTGCGGCGGCAGCGCGGCCTCAAGGAGGGCGTGCATCGGGAACAGCGTCAGCGGCTGCTGTTCAACGCGCTGCGCCGCCGACACGACGAGGCGCACCAGCGTCCCTAGCGCGCCGTCTGGCGACCTGCCCGCGCAGTTGATGAACAGCTGCAGGCGGTCGCTGAGCGCGTCTCTCCAACCTGAGGAGCTGGCGTCGCCCACGCAGGGGTACAAGAACGCGTGCAGGGCATCAGCGAGCTCGCTCGAGGCGAGCTCGAAGGTGGTGACTCCGCTGTCCGCGGTCAGGAGGCGGAAGAGCCGTTCGAGCGCTTCGCGGTGGCAAGGCTGCACTGCCCGTGGATCGCTTCTCAGCTGAGCTGCCACCTCACTCAGCGGCGCATCGCTGGGACTGCCAGCGACTGTGGGCTGGCGGTGAGCAGAAAGCACACGCTGGGCAATCTCCTTAATCATTTCATCCTTCCAGCACGTGGTGATCTAGAAGAAGAAAATCATACACAAACGTAGGCTCTTGGAGGTTCGCGCGCACTTCTGGGATCGGCGCTGGACCCCCCTTCCCTGACGCGCGGAGTGCGCCGGGGGCGGTGCCAGTGCCGGCGCCAGGGGAGCCCGAGCCCGAGCCCTGGGCCCGAGCCCAAGCTCCGAGCCTGAGCCTGTCCCGAAGGCCAAGTCCGAGACTGAGCGCAAGCCCGAGCCCGAGCCCGAGGGGTCCAGCGCCGGTGCAAGAAGAAATCGGCGCGGACCTCCGAAAGCCTATGCCCGTGCCGATTTGTCTTCTCCGAGGATCGGCCCGGCGGGCCCGCCTGGTGCCATCGCAGAGCGGCTCCGCGGGCTGCCTCGGCCGTCGGACAGCCTCTGGACGGCGTGCAGCACGCCGTGCCGGGCGAACAGCGTCGAGTACGGCTCCGGGTGGCGCTGCAGCAGCTCCTATGAGCATCGTTCCGCCGATCCCCAGCCCCACTGGCGTGGCCCCCTTCGGGTTTTGCGGGACCTACTCCCCCCTGGGGGAGTGGGCCGGTGGGGCCGAGGCACCGTGGCCCAGTGGGGCTGGGCATCTGCGAGGCGAGGCTGCGCTCCTCCGCCATGGTCAGGCACGCCACAGTGGTCGTGCGCGGAGGGCTCGCCAGCAGCAGGTTGGCCAGGAAGCCCGACAGCCCCGCCGGCTCCACCAGTCTCAGCACCAGCTCCGGCTGCTCGCGGCACGCCATCAGGAGAGCGAGCAGCAGCGAGACGCAGAGGGACTGGGTGACGTTTGGAGGAGGGCCAGCCGAGGCCGCGGTGGCTCTCGCTGGCGTGCTCTATTCTTAGGTCGGGCATGTCCCCTACAGGGGGAGTTCGGACGAAGAATTAGAAATACCCTCAAACAGTATTCAAACATATTCAGAAAATGCAGAAATAATGGTCCCCAGACTATTTTTTTACTACTTTTGAATATTCCTCCTGTAGAGGGACAGGCCCGACTTAATTCCGTCACCTGGGGCTTCTCGTCACCACGGCTGGATCCGCCTCGAAAGCCTGGTCAGGATGGACCCCGGGATCTGGGCCGGGCGGGGGCGAGAGAGCCGCCGTTGTCTCCACTGGCCCTCCTCCGAGATGGGCTCCATGGAGACCTCATAGATCTCAAGAAGGACCGGCAAGAAAGACTCGGCCATGAGCTGCAGGTAGCCAGGGTTGTCCCGGAAGAGTTTAAGCCGCTTCTCGTCGCACATGCATCGGGAGCCAATCGTGCGCACGGCGGGGAGCATCGATGCGATTACCGCCAGGGCGCGCAGGAGGCCTGTGGGTGGGCGCGTAGAGGACTGCCCTGGGTCGCCAGAGTCGCCGCTGGTAAGAATGCCCCGGAGCAGCTCACAGATCTCCTGGTTCAACAGCTCCTCCGTGATCGTCTCGGAGTAGTTCGCGAGAACGGACAGGCTGTACAAGACCTCGTTCGTGACCACCGAACTGGGCGGCGACGGGGTCGAAATGCCGGAGCCAAGCAATAGGAGCAGGTTCCCCAGCACGCCGGCTGGGCACATCTCCTCTAGTCAGAGGCGCGCAACCATGCATTTGCGATCCATGGATTTGGCGCGCGGTCGCCAAATCCATGAATCGGCCTGTTGCCCTCCCCAAAATGCCTTCCCCGAATGCGGCTGCCCTCCCCAAAATGCGGCCGGTGCCGCCTCGCTCGGTGGCGGAAATCCGCGATTTCCCATGGACCGAAGCGGGACCCGTCGCTAATCCACGCCCCCTTGATCCATGCTTGCGATCGCCTGATCTATGCGACATGCGAGAGGGGGGGGAGGGGGGGAGGGGGAGGGGGGCAAATCCAAGCGTGTAAACCAGTGCTGGAGGGACCCCTGTGGGCCCGCAGGGGTCACTCCAGCGACGAGCCACTCTTACGCGCAGCCGATCCTCGAGCAGCGCCGCCAGGGGCCCTGCCGCCAGCGCGGGCGAGCTCCCGGCGCTACCGGAGCCGCCCGCGCTGCTGCAGGCGCCGGGCTCGGGCGCAGCCGACACCTGAGCGACGAAGAGAAGCGGCCCTCGCGCGAAAGGGCAGAGCGGCCTCACGCGGTGGCTCCCGCGGGCTGCCCGCGCGGCACGCCGCATGTTGGCAACGAAGGCGCTCACGCGCGACCTCACGCACAGAGCCTACGCGCGCGCCAATGTCCGCGCTGACGACCCCGTTCTCTGCCGTGGCTCACCTTGTTCCTGTCCCTCCGGGGGCGGTCGCCCGGGCCCGCGTGCCGCCTGCTGCCAGCGGTGAGCCGGTCGAGGGGCGTCCAGCAGGAGGGCCCTCCTGGCGCACCGGGCAACTGCCCGTGCGCCGCGATCGTGTTGTCGAGGACCCGGCGCCAGCACTCGCAGATGGACTGCACCACCTGCGGGTCCGAGTGCTGCAGCAGCGCGGCGAGCGTGGGCAGCACGGGCTGGACGTGCTGCTCCAGCACGCTGCTCGGGAGGGCCGTGGCCAGCATCAGCGACGCCGCGTTGGCCGCCTGCCGCTGGGTGGCCATCTGGAAGAAGTCGAGGAAGGCCACCGCCGCCTGGAGGCAGCCGGCCCGGAGCACCTGCAGGGGCTGGTCCTCCGACATCCACTCGATGATGGCGACTGCGACCTCGGCGACGTCGATGAACTCCACGTTGAGGAGCTTGGAGCAGAGCACGGGCAGGCCCCCCGCGGCGATGATGATCCGCGCCGTCGGGGGCAGGATGTCCACGAGGTTATGCAGGCACCGGCAGCACAGGAGCATCACCTGCCCCGCGCTCTCCTCGCTCTGCCCGGGGTTCTCCAGGAGGCTCACGAGCACCGGGATGAACATCTTCATGGGGAACGAGAGCAGGGCCTCCTCGGAGCTGAAGCTGAGGTACTCCGACAGCTCCGTGAGCGCCATGAGCTGGCGCGTGCTGTCACTGCTCTTCAGGTCCCGGAACATTGACGAGAACTGGGAGCCCCCTGGCGCCCCCCCGCCCTCCCCGTCCTGCTGCGAGGCCCGCTTCAGGAAGAGGTCCAGCGCGACGTAGCCGCCCAGGGCGCCCCCGTCCGCGCTGGCCGCGCCGCTGCCCGGCGGCAGCTCCAGCATGTCCTAGAAGAGAAAAAGAAGCACTGTAAACATTAACTTTTGGCGCTCCGCGCAGATTTCTTGGATCTGCGCTGGACCCCCCTCCCCGGTGCGCGGAGCGCGCCAGTGGCGGCGCTGGAGGCGCCGCCAGGCGCCAGCGCGGATCCAAGAGATCCGCGCGGAGAGCCAAACATTTGAGGACAGGGGATTATGGCGTTTTTGTTCCTCTTCGAGGTCCTCCATCAGGCCCTCGTCGCTCTGGCTGCCCTCCTCGCTCTGGCTGTCCTCTTCGGCCCCCAGGGCGACCGCCGCCTCGTCCCGGGCCGCGGCCGCCCAGCCCGTGCCGTCCATCTCGCCGAGGCGCCACGCTCGGCGGCGGGCGCACCGAGGGAGGGGCGCGCCCCGGGGGGGGGGAGGCGGGGAGGGGAGGGGCGGCGACGGGCCTCCCGACAAGGCCGGGGCAGAGGCGTCCCAACTGGGATCGGAGCAGCTGGGGTCCGAGAGTCGAGCCGCATCGCCGACACATCGGCGATGCCTCGGCGATGCCTCGGCGATGCAACGGCGACGCATCGTCGACGTGGGCGATGCAGCGGCGACGTCGACGTGAAGCAAATCGGGCTCCACGTCGAGCCGCATTGGCGATGCATCGGCGACGCGGCGCGATCCTCCGACCCCGTCCACTCGGACCCCACCTGGGAGGCCCAGAGGGGAGGGGCGGCGACGGGCCTCCCGAGAAGGCTGGGGGGTGCAGGGGTGCTTCGTAGAGAGGGCCGTGGGCCGGGGAGGCTCCTCGGGAGGCTCCTCGGGAGGCTCCCGAGGAGCCCTCTCCCCCCCCAAATCCTGGCATTGCCTATTTCTGGCCACGCTGGGCGTCTCCGTGCGGACCCTGCGAGTGTGGGCCCGGGGGCCTTCGCAGATCGATGCGGCTCGAGAGGTGCCGCACGGAGACGGGGTTTTGAGTGCTCTGGTCGCGATGTCTCACGAAGTTGGAGTTTACGACAATCTTTTCTGCCGAGGCGCCGTCTATAGGTGCGGCTTCTTGCATGCGCGCGTGGATCCCAGGGCGGCCTCCTCAGAAGCCCCCCGCGCCGCCTCCTTAGAAGCCCCCCGCCTTCTCCTTCGGAAGTCCACCCCCTCACGCCGCAGAGCCCCGACGTCGTGTCTTCCCATGACGTGTACAATTAAAGGGGCCCCAGAACACACAAATAAATACACACAAATAAAACTATTCCCCATATTTTCATATATTTTCTGGGTTTCTGTCTTCCCCCTCGCTTCCCATATTTTCCCATATTTTCTGGGGAATCGAGGATTAATTGTGTCTGTGTGTTTCTTTCCCTCCTGAATAATTACCCCCAGGGGTCTGGGCCCCTCCCCGGGGACCAGTTTCTTCTCCAGGGCCGTGCTCGACGGTCCCGAGGCCTGGTAAGGGCCCCAAGGAACCGAGAATAGCGCAAAACCTCCCCCCCGATGCCGAAAACATAGGGAAGCCGTCCTTCGTGTCTTTGTTATCGACGCGAGGGGTCTGGGGTTAGGTCGGGCATGTCCCCCTACAGGCGGCTTTTGAACGAACAGTCATCCAAAAATGCTCCAGACTGGTGACAGGTAGTCAAAGAAACCGTCCCCACACTATGTTTGCAGTGTTTTCCAGCGGTGGCGACGAGGGCCTCCCTGGAGGTCCAACATTGGAAAATGAAAAAACGGCATTCACATAAGCTGTTGGCGCTCCGCGCGGATTTCTTGGATCTGTGCCGCCCCCCCTCCCTGGCGCGCGGAGCGCGCCCGGGGCGGCGTCGGAGGAGCCGCTGGGGGGCCCTAACGCCGATCCAAGAAATCCGCGCGGAGCGCCGAAAATCTATGCTTGTGTCGTAGTTTCTTCTTCGAAGCATGGCGAAAACGAGGGAAGGGTACGGCTGGTTCGCGTCGTGTCGACCCCGACGTTGGTCCCTGACGCCGCGGGGATCGTTCAACCTTTCACGCTCGGCCGTCTCCGAAGCGTCCAAATCGTTCCACATCGAACGATTCTGGCTCGCCCGCGGCGTTTTCCAAGTTGAACGCCGCTGGCGGGGTCGCCGCCGGTCGACACGACGCGAGCCAGCCGTATAGCGGCATCGGTATACCCTTTACCTCCCCCGGGAAGAGTGGCTAGCGCGCGGCCCCGCGCGCGGCGCCAGCGCCGGGCACGGGGGGCGCTGCGAGCGCCCGCCGGGCCGTGTCCGAGCGGTCGCCGCGTCGGCCGAGGGGCCGCGCGGCGTGCCCGGGTCGAGCGCCGGCCTGGGCCAACATGGCTGCAGCGGGCCGCAGTGGGGCGCAGAGGGGCACGCTAGACAGTGCTGTGCTCAGGTCGGGCACGTCCTCCTGCAGGCGGCTGCTGGACGACACGTCAAACAGAGTCGAACAGAAAGCATCACAAATAGTCGAACGTAGTTCCCAGACTATGTCTGGACTATTTTGGGGCACTCCGCCTGCAGAGGGACGCGCCCGACTCTTTCCTATGCGCCCCCCTTGGAGGCGCACGCCCGAACCGAACATATAGCGTAAGCATCTTACAACAGATCGTTCTCCAGGAGGTCTGGCCAGAAAGCGCCCGCCACCACGCATGTACTGCACCATTTCTCAGCGCACGCGTCGCCCCTGCGACGCAGACGCACAGTGGTGCGCGCATGTTTGGGTGTGCATACCCAAAAGCTGGGGGACATTTCTTGAGAGCCTGGCGCTGCAACTTGTTTCACACCGGGCGGTTTCGCGTGGTTTTGAGCCCACAGACCATCATGGTTCGATCCAGCTCGCAAAATGTAGAAGAAAGATGGGGTCCAGGGCTCCAAACATGATTTGTGGCGATTACGATACTTTTCGTGGCGTCGGATCTCAGGGGATGTCGAGCATCGGGTTCTGTCAAGTTTTCGGGGACCGTTTTCGGTCCCCGGGCCGTGACACAAAGGGCTCATTCGGCTGCCCGTTCGGCTGCCCGTTTGGCTGCCCATTCGGCGGCCGAGCGGGCTTGGACGCCTAGCGGGCCCAGAAGGAACCCTTCGCGAGAAGCAACAGCAAACGAGGACGTATGCACTGGCGGGAGGTCAGGTCCAGCAGGACAAGGCAGGTGGGCGGGCGGGACTGGCGCCATAGGCCCGGGAGGCGAGGGCCAAGCGAGGGAGGCGGAGCGAGGGGAGCAAAACGCGAGCGTGTAGCGGGCGATGGACGTCGCCCCAGGAAGGCAACATCATCATATTGCCACTCTGCCAGGAAGCTGGGGGTAAACGTGGATCCACCTATGAACATCTGAAAGCAGCAGTGTTTGGAGCCACGGTGGTTGGATTCACGTGTTTGGAGGCCCCGTGGTGTGCCCTGCCATGCGAGGGCCGAGCGCTGGAAAGACATGCGGTAAGGTGTATAGTAAGCTCTCGCCCCGGCCAGGCACGTCGTCCCGATCCAGCTTCCTGGCATGCCATCGCGGTATCCTGCAGGCCGAAACATCTTGCCGTGGCAATATTCAGAGGGCCCTTTGGGACGCCCTCGCGATTCAACAGCCGCGCTGCTTTCCACTATCGAACAGACGGGTCAGTGACGAATGCGGCAGCTAGCGAGCAGATTCAGCGCCAGACAGCATGTCAACAAAACACGGGCCACGACGGAGAACCTCCCCGTTCCGGCCACTGCGGTGGCGTGGTGCCCCCCGTTCTCCTCCACTCACGCTTCTCCCGCGCTGCCGGCGCGTGCCCGGAACGCTGCGCCCGTGCCCCCGAGGCGCAGCCTCATTGTCGACCACACCATGTTTGCTCTGATGCACATTTCCTCGCTCTCTGCGAAGGTCATCCCCTGCAGCCTGGTCACTCCGTGCCTCGCGCCGCACCTCCGACAACCTGCACGAGGAAAAGACCGCCTGGGGCCTCGGCCGGATTGCACCGGTGCCGTCTCGAGGACTTCCCACGGCTGCACGGGCCCGCCGTTCTCTCGCGCACGCCATGCAGGCCACGAGAAGAGAGCGGGGGGGAGAGGGAGGGTCCGCGCAGGGGGCGCCATCCGGTGCGCACGGGCGGCGGCGTGGCGCAACCTCGGCGGACCCACCCAGCGCTCGGGGCGCCCACAGGCGCCCACGAGGCGGCAGCGTGGAAAAAATTCTGGGCGGCCCGTCCAGTCGCGCTCTTGCGAAAACTCGCTTGATGTTGCTATATCAACATCGCTTGATGTTGCTATCTCAACATAGCGTTTCGAGGTGATAATGAAGTTCGGCCTCAGCGCTCGCCGCCCAATTTGAATTTTGTATAGGGCGACGATAATCAACTCTAAACACTGAAGGGGGGGGGTCCCTTTATTATCATCGGCATGCGGTTAAGCACTGCTTGTGGGATTCGTTCCCTGCGACGCGGGAAGGAGGAGCCCCTCGATGCTGGCACGCGTCCACAGCTTGCCTCAGACCAGTACTTGCAACTTTGGTAACCGTTCCTCCTGACCAGAGTCATCCTCCCTGCATCTGAGCCCATGCGGCCGCCGAGCGGACTCCAAATCGAGCCGAGCCCGTTCGGCGGTCGAGCGGGCTCAGGTTCCCTCGACCCTGTCAGAACCGCACCTGTTCGGCTGCCCACTCGGAAGCCGAGGGAGCTCGGACGCCGACCGGGCTCGAGAGGGCAACCCTGAGGGGGGAGAAGCGTCGAGGACACGAGGACGGACGCACTGGCGGGAGGCCAGCGCCAGCAGGATATGTGGGCGCGTGGGCGGGACAGACCAGAGACAGGCTGCAGGGGGCAGTGGCCGGGCAGGCGCGGGCTAAGAGAGGGGCGGCCGAGCGGGCTCGGGGATCGCGCGCAGATCCCCGGCGGGGCGAGACGGCCGGGCTTCCCTGAGGGGCCCTTGGCCGCTGCTCTCTCGCTCGCTCTCTCTCTCTCTCTTGCCCTGGCGCGGCTCCCGTCTGCCCTCTCGCTCTGCCTGTCGCTCCATTGGCCCGCCACGCACGCGTGAACTGGCCATGTGTACGCACAAGGCCTACAACAACTCTTGCTGGAGATTCTAGCACGCCTTTGGCCAGTTGGGCTGGCGAACTTGCTTCACGCCACATTCTGCTTACCAGATAGAGTCGCCGCTGTTGCTGACCGCGTCGCTGAGGTCACGTTGGGCCGGGCAGACATACCGCGTGCCGTCTAGATGTGGAATCGTGCGAGACCTACTTCCTCTCTGGCGCGACTGAACACTTCGAGGTACAAGAAACGGCAGAAACATACACTGGTGGAGCTCCGCGCAGAAGTCTCGGATCCTCGCTGGGCCACCCCTCCCTGGTGCGCTCCGCGCGCAAAGGGCGGCGGCGGAGTCACCGCCAGTGGGCTCCAGCGCCGATCCGAGAGATCCGCGCGCAGCTCCGAAAAGGTTCAGGTCGTGCAGTTGTTTATGCTTCGACTCTGGCTCGACAGACTGATGCAGGCCTTCTCCTTTTCCTTCTCCTTGTCCTTCTCCTCTGAGGCCATCTCCACGTCACCCGTCGCGGGCACCAGCGAGAGGTAGAGCGCCTTGGGAGGAGCCCGATCATGTTTTATTTGTTGTCTGGGGGAGGAGCCCGAGAATCCAGTCGTCGTGCTGCTATAACGAAGGCTGAACAGGAAACGAAGGGGTCTTTTCTGGCCACGGCCAGCCTTGGCCATGACGAGGTTCCCACCGCCTAGATCTACTTGCCATCGCTAGGACGTCTATTCCCGTGCATTTGTAGTTGTCGTGCGTGCTTTGTTGCTAAGCGATCAAGGATAATCCTCGACTGCCCTCGCCGAGAAACAATGCACACGTGCGAGCGATGCCAAGTCTAGGGGGCAGCCAGCAAACCAGGGCCCATCTTGAGCCCAAAGTGGTTTATCCAAGCGTCTTTTGACTGCAACTGCAGCAGCAGCAGCAGCAGCAGCAGCAGCAGCAGCAGCAGCAGCAGCAGCAGCAGCAGAGAGAGAGAGAGAGAGAGAGACGATGACCGCGGGGGGGGGGGAAGGGGTGCGTGCGTGCATATCGTCCAATCGCAAGTTATGCCCTGCTGGGAGGGAACGAATCGTGAGCGAGACGAATATTAAGCGAACGCGGGGCGCGCGCGTCGCGAGCCGCCAGCGGAGGAGGAGGAGGAGGAGGACCACTAAACCCAGGACGCATCAACGATAAGCCCTCCCTCCAAGCTCTCTCTTCACAGATGCCTACAAGGATCCCGCCAGCCCTCTGGGCGTAGGCGGTCTAGAGAGCAGTATGGTCCAACCCCCGTTCTTCC